GCCTCAGCTGCTGCATCACTTTTCTGGAAGATTCCATTTGTATTCTGTCAACTCCTGAAGCCTTGTTTTTTGCCAACGCTTGGACTCCTTCCTTCAGTACCAGCAATTCTTGGTCATATGATACCGCTTGAAAAGTTTGATCATCAACCTTTTTTTTTTTTAGTACACTGACTCTGTATTCCTTGCAACTTCTTTGATGCTTTCTGCATCATTCAATATTTTGTGTAATTTTTGTTAAGTGCCGTCGAGTCAGTTCCAACCCACAGCGATCATGTGGTAGAGTTTCTGAGGAGCGGCTGGTGAGCTTGAACTGTCAGCCTTGCAGTCCAGCGCATTAACCCACAGCACTGCACCAGGTCTCCATTTTGCCAATATTGTTGTTAAGTACTGTGGAGTCGGTTCTGACTCATAGTGACCCTGCACAGGGTTTCCGAGTCTGCAAATCTTTACAGGAGCAGAAAACCTCATCTTTCTCCCACAGAACAGCTGGTAGTTTCGAACTGCCAACCTTGAGGTTAGCAGCCCTATTTGTACCCACTATGCTACCAGAGCTCCTTTTTGCCCATAGGAATCCTTAAATATTGCAACTCCAGGCTTGAATTTTTCATTCTTCCAGCGTTAAGAAATTTTCCCTTTTGCCCTTCTAGCTCCAGATCTTTACTCATTTAATTTTAATACTTGATTTCATGTTCTCAAGCTGCCCTTTGAAATTTTCTATCTAGCTTTCACTCCCACATTTTTTCCAGTCACTTTAGCTTCTAACACTCAAGAGCAAGTTTCAGGATCTCTTCTGACATCCATCGTGTTTTTTTCTTTCTTTCCTGTCTTTTTAATGACCTTTTGCTTTCTTCCTGTACGTTGATGATGTCATCCCACAACTCTTCTGGTCTTCCGTCATTAGTGCCTAATGCATCGAATCTGTTCTCTAAATCAGGTGGGATCCATTAAAGGTCCTATTTAGCTCTCGTGGACTCCTTGGTATTTTCTTTCAGTTTCAGCTTGAACTTGCGTACCAACAGTAGATGGTCTGCAAAGTTGTTTGCACTGCAAGGTCAGTGGTTCACGCTCACCAACTGCTCCTTGGAAACCCTACATAGGGTCACTATGGGTTGGAATTGGTTCTACGGCACTAACAGCAATCCTCATGGAAGAGTCCTGGTTGCAGTGAATTAGGACCAGGGCTGCTAACCACAAGGTCAGCAGTTCAAATCTATCAGCTACTCCTCACACTTACGGCCTTGAAAAACCTAGAGTTGCTATGAGTCAGAACCAACTTGATGGCAAATAACTACCAGCACCAAAAATCTTTATGGAAGCAGATTGCCCCAGCTTTCTCCCGCAGGCAGGTTAATGGGTTTGAACCACCAACCATTAGATTAGCAACTGCCAGCTTAACTCCTGCCCAGAATTGACTAGTGTTGTGTGGCATGGTGCTACTGTTGGGGGAGACATTTAGCGTCTCGAGGCCTTTCCCATCCACTCTTCTACTATCCAGCGAGGCCTGGTGAGGCACTGTAGGATAAAGCACTGGACCACAAGGTCAGTGGTTCAAACTCACTTGCTGCTCCTGGGAAATCCTCTACAGGACCGTTACAAGTTGGAATCGACTTGCCAGCACTTACCAGCATGGTCATTAAGAAACATGAGACTGACCAAATTTGCATTTTCTTTTTAACATCCAACTATAACTAATCATGTCAAATGAAAAGAATTGCGGTCAAGCTGAATTCACTTACACAGAGCAATGTTTAGTCCACAACATTTTTCTTAACCAAGCCCAATTTTGTTTAAAACTCAGGGATAAGCTTTCTTAAGGTCATAACGTAAATTAGTGGTCTCCTTGGAAGTTTTATCTTATACTTTAGTCGCTATCCTCGAAACCATTTATAAACATTGAAAAAAGTACAATTTAGTCTTCATTTGCATAAATATTTTGGCTAAGAACTCAAAAAATACATAAAGTGCTGTTTTTTACAATTGTCTAAATAATCTAAAAACTATTGGTTCTATACTTCTTTCTTCTCCTGATGTAAGCTCTCAGTTGCAGGGTATCAAAGTTGAACATTTCTCTCATTGATTCTAAGAGCAATCAGTATCCATTAAATGTCCCCACCAAGTAAGTGAATAGAGTAAGTTTTTGTTAAACACGTGGGTCGGAGTTACACACGAACACAAATTGCTAAATTGAGAAAATGGAAAATTTTCAAGGATTTGGAGACCTGGAGTTATACTTTCAACCTTAGATGATAATCTGACAAATTTGTAATGCTTGCAAATTTAATACACATCCTTCAACAGTAGCTTCATTCAAGAAAAATGTACAGAATCCACACCAGTATTTTTTCTACACGTTTTCTAAAAAGCACAGCCTGCTATAAGCATTCACAACTCATGTACTTACCACAGTTGTTGTTGTTAAGTGCCGTCGAGTCAGTTCCAACTCATAGTGACACCGTACAGTTTCTGAGGAGCGGCTGGTGAATTTGAACCACCGACCTTGTGGTCCAATACATTATCCCACACCACACCAGGGCTGAAAGTTAAAGTGCCCCAAACATAATGGCATCATCAAGTTCATGTGTGCGGAGTGAAGAGTGTAATACTTTTCTCTTTATTATGTAAATAAATCTGCACTGGCTGAATCAGGCTGAGGAGAAAGGGATACAGTCTTGCAGAAGAGAACAAGACCCAGGTTAAGTCAACTCTAAAGAAATAGTCCCGCTCACTGTGACCCTGAAGGGGCAAAAACCAAGATGGAAGGAAAATAGCAATGTGAGGAGAGTGAAGACAATCGCGCCTTAAGCAGAGCTCTGACTTTCACAAAGGCCCGAGGACACGCTGCCCACCAGCCCTCGCTCGGGTACGGACACAGGTGCCCTCCATTTGCAAGGAAATCCATGTGTAGCAGAGATCACGTGGTAAGTTGTTACAAGGTCGACTCGACCTTGTGTCAAAGTCTAAGGATTCCGTGAGGCTTACTTACACGAAAAGGGTGAAGTCATAAGGAAAAGACTTCCGACTCACGCGTTAACAGGGTAAATTTGAAAATGCAGGCTTCGAGAAGATTTCCAGGCGCTGGTGAACCTCGATTCTCCACCCATCATTTTAACCCTGTCAGAGTACATGGGGGAACATCCAAGTCATCGTACCCACTTCTACTTACTGTATCACTGCTTAAACTGAAATTTCAGAGCTGGAGCAGCTCAATCTCCAGATGCCCATGTGAATTGTCAACAATTAAACACCCATCACAGTGCTTTTCCTGCCCTGACTACACTCACCGAAGTAGATTTAGAGCTGAAATAAACTTTAAGACCTTACACAGACTCACCAAGTACCCATTTAAAGACAGTCTTTGTTGTCTGCTGTTGAGCCACTCTGTGCACGGTTTCCAAGGCATGGCTGGTGGTTTGAACCACTGACCTTGCAAGTCAGCATTCCAGTGTTTATTGTACACCAGGACCCCAGTCTGTAACGACAGCCAGGGCTGAGAACCACAAGTTAAATGAGAAGCCTGTGACAGCTTGCTGTGCTTGGGTGAGACTTTCCAGAAAGCAGCTTACAGTGTTCCCTCCATTTACATGACCAACCACAGAACTGTGCATGCGCCCCCCACAAGCCCGAGAGAAAACCCAACTTAGGAAATGCTTTGCCCAGCTATGAAAACTAAGGAGCTGAAAACAAGTGGTAAAACTGAGATTAAAGTTAGATACTCGTGATGAAGACAATGACAACAGAGAGTTTGCTAACATGAAAGTCTCCGTTTTTAATTTGATAGGTACACATTTGACAAACTATTTTAGGATACACTTTTCCATGGACAGGCACAAGGAGCTTAACTGTAAAAAAAAAAAACAAAAAATCAAAGTGATATATTTTTCAAACAAAAACATCTAGTTATAAAAATTTCTACCATGAATCTGGAAGACTTCCAGTTCCTGTTCATTCCCCTAATCTTAATCCCCGACAGGGGTGACCCTCAGACTCTAACACATGTGGCAGTCACGGTCAGTGGTATGAACCGGCAGGGAAGTGAAGGGCCAGACCCTGGGATCCAACACAGAATGGAAGACTCAATGGGAAGTCTTTGACAACAAAGGGCATGAGAAAGCCCAAGGACCCTTGCTAGTTTCTGTACGGCCCACTGCTGTGGACTCAACACCACCTCCTAGCGAACCTAGAGAACAGAGCAGAACCGGCTGAACTCTTTATGGAAGCAGACTGCCACCTGGTGGGTTCGAACTGTGGACCTTAGTTAGCACCAAGCACTTCATCACAGCACCACCAGGGTTTTTCTAAGTACCGTCCTCCCTAAGGCGGCTGCAAATGGTTTTTCAATTTTACTCAATTTTCCTTCAGTTCTCCTTCTAGTAGAAAACCAGCAACCAAGTCCCCAAATCTCCACGACATAGAAGCTAATAAACATCTAGAACAGTTCCAGATTTATCAATAATTTTACATCATCAGATAGAAACTTTAACTTTTAGGACCTGAAATTCCATTTAAGGAAGAGTAACAAAGATTCAAATTAAGTTTTCAAGCCTAATTCATAAACATTTGAAGTAATTTCTATCGCCCAAAATTAAGTTTCTCAAAAAGATAACTGGTGTAAAACTAAAGTTCTCCCATAAACTATCATATAATTCACAATAAAACATTAAAAAAAAAAAAGATAACTGGATATTTTATATTGAGTACAACTTGCTCATGACTTAGAAATGGAATGGCTGCCTCTTTATATTATTCTTCAAATACACTTAAAAGAAAGGAGAACATCCTATTCCATCTGGAATACACAATTTATTGACTTGCAAGACAATCACATAAACAGGCCATAAGACAATAAGCCAACGCTTATTCTCTGTAACACTACCAAGACAATTTAACACAGTACGGCCATATACTCCTAACTGACCCACAGAGGTTAGACTGACTGTATTTTCAGAGACCGGCAGTAACACACACCTCTGTGGAGCGTATTTGCACAAAGCGTTTAAAAACTACATTTGCTGCTCCTCCGGGAGAGGGTCAACAGCTTCCAGGAGCTTTTTATTTGCCTCTTCATTATGCCGACTTTGACAATGGGTTAGGTGTTTCTTAAAGCCTCTAGGGAAATTGGATTCAAAATTACAACGTGGGCATTTAAGTAAACTTTGCCCATGGGCAGCAACGTGGTTTTTAAGGAGAGATTCCAAAAGAAAAGCCTTCCCACAAATTGTGCATTTGTAAGGGCTGTGAACATTATGCTTATTAACCAAATGGTGCAAAACCGCACCTTTTTTCATAGCCCGACAGCAACAAATTTTACAGTAATACTTTCCTTTCCCGCGCTTCATGTATTTTGCGATCTCCTCTTCAGAAATGAAAGCCTCTTTGTCTTCGGTAAACTGAAGCACGTTTTTGGCCTGCTCTGGGCTACTCGCACCCATTTTGCTCTCCTTACCAAAATCAATGGATTCCACGTCAAGCTGTTCTTGGTCACTGCTCGACTCTTGGCCCTTAATGTCTATGGCATCCAAATCTGTCTTGACATACTCACTGCTACTAAGCTCAGCATCCGAGTGCTCTTGATGGTCTTTCTTGAGCTTCTTCGAGGAAGGAAATAAAGGGTCTTCTACAAGCTTCTGGGGTGTTGTTACTTCTTCCTGAACCGAAACACACTTGGGCTCCTCTATGGCAGCTATCTGCAGCTCGTCACCAAGTTCAACCGCCTTCTGAGACTCTGAGAATACAGCAGACTTGGACAGTTCTGGGAAAGGGGCATGCTTCCTGGGCTCCGGGAAAAGAGCGCGTTTGCGTGGTTCCGGAGGCGCAGCAGCTGGGGTGCTTTTGCAGGGCTCTGAAAACACAGGTTTCCGAGGCTCTGTGTCCACAGAGAGGACAGGCTTCCAGCTCTCTGAGGCTGCTTTCGGGGACTCGGAGGGGCCAGAAGGCCCTGCTTTCCTAGTTTCAGGGAAGACGGGGGGTTTCTGAGGCTCAGTAAAAATGGAAGACTTCCAGGGATCAGGAGAACCGGCACAGGAAGTCTTCTGGGGCTCGGGAACATCGAGAGAGGCAGGAGAAGGTTTCCGCTGATCAGGAGAAATCTTCCAAAGCTCCGGAGAACCTGAGGGCTTTCTGAGTTCTGGAGACCCCGCAGCAGCGGGGCTGCGGACCTCTGGGGATAGTGGTGGGCACGGTTTTCGAATCTCAGGAGACAAGGGAGATCCTGCTTTACGGTGCTCAGAGGACACTGAGGGGGCTGCCTTCCAGTGTTCAGGTGACAAGGTGGGTGTTGTCTTCCGGAGTTCCGGCGGGCCAGACTTCCACGATTCAGGAGACGCAGAGGGAGATTTCCAAGAACCAGGTGACACAGATGAAGACTTCCAGGACGAAGGGGACACAGATGGAGCTGGCTTCCAGGGCCCAGGGGATACAGAGGGAGCAGGCTTAGCTGGCTTCCAGGGTCCCGAGGACGCTGACGGACTAGATTTCCACGGTCTGGAAGACCCAGGTGGCCCTGACTTCCAAGAACCTGGTGACACCGCTGGGGCTGGTCTCCGAGGCTCAGAGGAGACAGCAGGGAATGACTTCCAAGAGTCAGGAGATTCCGCTGGGGACGGCTTTCTGGGCTCCGGGGAGGCAGTCCGAGCTGGTTTCCTAGATTCTGGAGACGTGGTAGGAGATGGCCCCCAAGGTTCCGGGGAAGCCGCCAGAACTGGGGATTCTGGAGATGGGGCTGAAGGCGGCCCCAATGTTTCTGGGAAATGAGAGTGTTTCTGGGGCTTGGTACTGATTAGAGGAGGCTTCACTGGGTCTGCGGACACAGGAGCATGTTTCTGTGGTTCTGGGGAAGGGGAAGGAGCAGGGGCAGGTTTGTGAGATTCCGAAGCAACAGGAACTGGATTTGGAAGTTGAGGAGAAATGGAGGCAGGTTTTGGAGGCTCGGGGGAAGAAAGAGAAAGTGTCTGTGGTTCTGAAGAAACCCCAGGACCAGGTTTCGGAGGCTCTAGGGAAGGAAGTGGTGTGGATTTGGGGGATTCTGGGCCAAGTTTCTGAGTTTCCACAGAAGGGACAGGTGTAGGTTTCAGTTCTGCTGAATTCGAGGACATTTTCTGTTGGTCGGGAAGAGAAGGGCTCTTCAGAGGGTCGGCTTCTCTGTGGGGCTGCGTCTTTGCTTTATCACTCCGTGTCTCTGGGGCTGCGTGTTTGGCCGTGAGGTGATGGTACACATTCGAATACATCTTGCTGGTGAAGAAGCACTTGTGGCAGTGAAAGAGTTTGGCGCTTTTCTGGTAGAATATCATTTTCCCTAAGCCACCAGTATCCATGTCATCACAGAATTCTGGGTGGATGGTACCAATGTGGATTTGGGTACTTTCATAGTCAGTGCCCCTAAAATTGCAGTGGTCACACTCCAGACGTGCCGAGGCCTTACGAAGGTCCTGGAATACTTCCATGTTTTCTTGTGTTACAAGACACGCGTTTATATCCTTTAAACCTTTGAGAATTGCTGCAATAAAGTAGAAATATATTACTTTCATGGAATATAATTCTGAGTAAAAGGCTGCCCTATTAAGCACTGGACAACTAACTACAAAATTGGTGGTTCAAATCCACTAGCCTCTCCTTGGAAACACCATACGGGGTTGCTATGAGCTGCAACCAATTCAATGGCACTTAACAACAACATGGAATAGATGCCAACAGAGAAGGCCATTCGATCCAGGAGTAACCAGTCCCCTGCACTGTATGATTTCAGTGCAATCATGATAGAGATGTAGTCCCGTGAGCTTAAAGAATGCTTTATTGACAACTTCTGCTCCTCAAAATGCTCACATTTCTCCAGTGACGGCAATAGTAAACATCATACTGAACCCCTTCTTTTTTACCTGGCTTCTAAGGCATTTCTAAAAAGGTATCTCTTGACCTTACAAAGTCTATACATAACAATGAATAGTCTAATGCATATTATTTGCTTGTGTATATACACCAGTTTAACAATAAAGCAGAATTCTTCCTACTATAAAACAAAACAACAAAAAAAGAAAGGCTGCCCTAGTCCATTCTAACTGACTCTGCGTTAATTAGTATGATGTTGTTTAAGTACCACTAAGGAGGTCCTGACTCACAGTGAGCCTGTCTACTAGGGTTTCGAGGAGCGGCTGGTGGGTTTGAACCACCAACATTAAGGTCTAGAGGCTATCCTCCAGCATAAGAGCAGGACTCCAATGAGCTAACAGAACAATATGAGAAAGGTGAAATCGGATTTTTAACTGAGCCCCAGGCAATCAGCCAGGAGTTTTAATTACATTACTTCATTGGACACGTCTAAACACTACAGTAGCGTAGTGGTTACGAATCGGGCTGTGAACCTTAATGTCAGCAGTTCTAAACTACCAGCCGCTCCGCAGGAGAAAGATAAGGCTTTCTGCGCCCATAAAGATTTACAGCCTCGGAAACCCTGTACAGGGTCGTTATGGGTCGGATCCGACTCCACGGCACACAACAACAACAAACACCACAGTGGAGTCCTGGTGTGGCGCTGTGGGCTAATGCGTCAGACTACAAAAGCGTTTCAACTGCAGGGCCAGTGGTTCAAGCTCACCAGCTGCCCCTTGGAAACCCTATACAGGGTCGCTATGGGTCGGAAACGACTCAATGGCACTTAACAACTACAACAAACATTACAGTATATGACATTTACAGAGGAAGAGACTGAGGTTTAGAGATGTGACTTACCCAAGGTTATATGCCAATAAGTTATAAAGTTGAGGTTCACACCCAAGTCGGGGTCCAGAATTAGCTACCATGCGTACCTCACTTTGATTCTCCAAAGCCTGAATCAAGAAGCTGTGAGCACACAAAGCTTGCTGTTGTTGTTGTGAAGTGCCGTCTACTGGGCTCCGACTCATAGCAACCCTATACAGGGTTTCCAAGGAGTGACGGGTGAGTTTGAACCACCGACACTGTGGTTTAAATCAACTTTGCAATGCAGTGCTTTAACCCCCAGCGCCACACCAAGATTCCTAACACAAAGCTTAGAATTGATCAAAATTAAATCTAAGTTGTTTAAGGCTGAGCACTTAAAATACTTTTCAGAAAGCAATTATGAAAACAAAATCTTAACTATGAAAAAATGGCTATTTTTTTTTTCCTTGTTGGCTTACTTAATATTAACATATCTTATAATGTTTTATCTATTCTACATTATACCCATTGACTCTGTAAGTGAATTTTTGTTTCTAGAGCTGTTTCACACCTGAGGGGTCACAGTAGTGTCCAGTACTAAGGAACTGACACTTGCTGGGAAGATCAACGTTACAGTATATAAGGTGGTGGCCAGGACGATCTGAGATGATGACTGAGAAGAGATCTTACACAACAGGAAGGAGTACGCCACAGGGCAGTTCCCAGAGAGCACAGCAACATACATCCCTGAGGGAGGGATGGAGTTACCAGAAAAGATGACTAAGACCGCAAGCCAAGGAGAGCAGCCTGGTGAGGCTAGAAAAACAGGGCACTCCATGAAAGAAAGACCGGCAGGAAAACTCCGAAACAACAGCAGTCTGACTGATTACTACAAGAACAAGTAAGCTGTTCACCTGGGAGCCAGCAAGGCAAGTGGTTGGGTCCCCTCAGAGCAAACCCCCTTCCAAGACTGAGACTCAAGGGGAATACATGAGCAGGCATGTGATCTGGCTGGTGACCACGTTGGTCACCCCAATAAGGGGAAGAGGAGGAAAAAACAGCAATGAAGTTGTGAGCTAAGCCCAACCACATTCTAAAGACCCCTGTTAACCCGGATGGAGACCTGAATGGCCAGCAGTACGGCAAGACCCGGGGACTCCTGGGCCCAGAGGCAGTGACATGGCCACAGAGGACTAGAGTGGAGAGTGAAGCGTCCAGCTGATATGAAGTGACAGGAGATGCGGAAGAACACCCATACTTGCAGGTAGTACCCACTTGACCTGGCTTCGATGGCTAGATGATCAGAGCTTCACTAGAAGAAGAAAGAAGAGGAAAAAACAAACAAAAAAAAAGAGTAACCTGCTACAATTTGATGAACCTTACCTATACCTATGGATGGATGGAGGAGCTCAAACAAGGGAACAAATCTTTATAGCAAGGATCACTCCCAACCCCTCGGTACACAGGGTTGACAGGGATGGGCAACTTAGCACTGGCTACCCAAAATGGGGCTGGGGGCGGGGGGGCCTATAAAGGGAAGAAGTGACTGGCTAACAAGCTTTCAAGAGAGAGCCTAGTTCCAGACGGAGAGGGGGAGGGTAGAATCACCAATGAATGATTTCTAGTTGGTTTGGACCGGGCTGGCAAAAGGAAATGGGGATAAGACTCTTGTACAATAGTGAATAACTGCCATCAGGACTGACTGTGAAGCTAGGAAATATAGAGGTCGATGTTTTTTGACAAAAGGAGGAAGGAGAGTGATTAATTTTGCAGCACAGGAGTGGAGGTTCCTGGAGCCATCAAGTAAGAAAAGTGGAGAGCAGGACCCTACCCAAGAGGCAGTGACGCCAAGGACGGAGACAGAGATGATGACGTGGACAGATGGAGCAGCCGGGGACACGAGACTCAGGGAGGAAGAAGGGCTGTGTGCTGGCAGGTGGGGGTCGGGCCTGTGGGGTGTAACCTTTGGTTATTTGATGACGCATGGAGGGGATTGTAATTATTGCAATGAAACGAAATACGACAGGATGAGTGTTAAGTTGATGGTCTCCCATGTAAATCTCACAATAAAAACTTTAAAAAAAAAGGCTAGCAAGCCAATCTTCTTAGGTGGTAAAATTGAATTCAATTCATAGTTAAAAACAAACTCATTCACCAAGTACCAAGAAACACACACATTACCCCCTGACAGGTAGCCAATGTACTTATATATCATTGTAGAATTTTACTAGGCATATTATGGTACCATAGGACTCCACGGCACATAACAATAACATAGGATATGCACTGGACTGCTGCTAACTGCAAAGCTGATGGTTCAAATTCACCAGCCGCTCCTTGGGAACCCTATCCAGGTTGCTATGAGTTGGAACAGACTTGATTGATGTCTTTTAACAACAGGAAGAACACTGAACTGCTAATCGAAAGGTCAGAGATTCAAATCCACCAGCCGCTTCTCGGAAACGCCATACATGGCTGCTGTGAGTTGGAACCAATTTGCTAGCACTCAACAAGAATATACAAATCAATCTAAATACATATATATTATAGGAGTAATGGTATGCTTTATCAAACTCTGAAAAAGTCACAGTACTAGTATACACCAAGCATGCACATATGAAGGACCAGCTGTGCCACACCCTCACAGACACTATTCCTAAACTACAGTCTTAATCTAGGTCGTGTTTCTTAATGATTCATAAGCTATTTTGTATGTACATTTTCACTGTTACTGAAAATATTTCTCCCAATTCCATGTTTGTTTTTATTTCATTTCTGGTATTTTTTCACCCTAAACAGTTTACATAAAAATGTAAAACTTAAAAAATTTTCCTTATGATTCAGATTTTAGGTTATGCTTAAAGCCTTCCCATGCCAACATGGCTTTTTTAACAGAAAGCCATCCTTTACTACCCCACACAATAAGCACTGGACGGCTTACTACAAAGTCCATGGTTCAAGCCCACCAGCCACTCTCCATAGGAGAAAGATGATGCTTTCTGCTCACCTTGATTTAAGCCTTGGAAACCCTTCGAGTTGCAATGAGTCGGAACCAATTTGATGGCATTTTAACAACATAAGTACCAAACGTGATCAAGTTTATCATAGAAACAACACTGAAGTGTTTTATTCAGATAGAAACATACCACCCGTACTATGACTAACAGGGGTTCAGATTTGCATGTGCCCCTTTAGCCCTTATATTTATAAAGGTAACTACAGTTGAGTGTCTCATAATCACAGGTAGCACAGTGGTTACGAATCGGGCTGCTAACCTCAAGGTCGAAACTATCAGCTGTTCCGCGGAAGAAAGATGAGGCTTTCTGCTCCCGTAAGGATCTGCAGCCTTGGAAACTCTGTGTAGGGTCACTATGGGTCGGAAGTGACTCCACGGTACTTAACAACAACAATCACAGCTAACACACAACTGTGAGATTCTGGTTTTCTATATATTGTAAGCATTCTTCTGGTCGTTGGCTAGTCTTTATAAATATCACTGATGACAGATGGCCACCATTAGTTTTTAAAATCATTCAGTCCTTTTTCTTATTATTTTGATCATTTCTTTCTCCTTTTACACTTGACTGTTTAATTCATCTGTAGAAGTAATGAGACAGGAATCTGCATCTTCCATCTAGTTCCACTATGGGTGCACCATCAACACTCACAGAAGCAGCAGTCAAGAATCAGATGATGACATAATGCATTAGGTACAGTACCTCTTTACAGTGTTGAGGAGCAAAGATGTCAGTTTGAAACTAAGGTGCAT